CCATCCATCTTTATCATCCTCTAGCTACCTGTGCTCTATCTTTGTTGATCATCTATCAGATGTAGATAGGTCGATGTTGGAGCAAGATAGCCAATCGTTGAGTGAAAACTACAAAGAACCTGTGAAACGGGGTGAGGCTCCTACACTGGGGAAGCCACATTGCTTCAAGACACCTGCCACTCCTACTAGCCACATGTTGATCACTCACGGGCACCCTGAGCATGTTACGGCAAGCCATGAGCTTGATTCTCGCCGACTGCTGTGGAGTCGGTGTTGTTGGCTCACGATGACCTCATGCACAATGGAACCAAACAGTGCCTAGTCGTGAGTCTCCCCCACAGTCTGTTGCAAATTAGACCCGTGTGATCCATTGGGTTTTCATTGGCTGATTTTCAGAAGTAGGCTGCCAGGCTAGGAAGCTGGAAGCTCCATGGCCATCTATTTAGCAACACAGCAACACACAAGCCTCCACAGACAGGCAGGTGGTGGTTGTGCATGTGGCTCATTGGCTGGGAAATGGACCTGGGTCTCCAACCTAGAAGGCCAGAATTCTACCACTGAGCTGCCCCTCCCGCTATAACAGCATACTCTGCACCTCACAACATTCACAGCCAAGCCGAGCCAATGTTGAGACCGGGCCAGCTCAGCAGCAGCAGCCCGTGTGTCAGAGTAGAACCGCTCCACACGGCTTCCAAGAGCTGCTTTTTCAGACTTAGATTACCGGGACTTCCTACTGGGCCAACTCAGAAGGTTAGAGCAGATTCGAACCTCCAACCTTTCTGTTAGCAGCCAAGCGCATGAACCCCTGGGGACTCCATGAAACTAAGTAGGAATGCATTGACTCCCCATGTAACAGATGAGGAAGCTGAGGCTCAGAGAGGCTAAGTGACCTGAGGTGAGGTGAGGAGGAGAGGAAGGAGGTGACTCCTGGGCTTTCCTCTCAGGAGTCCGCTCCCTATTGACACGCTCGTTTCTTCCTTTAGAGCTGCCTGGCATGGGCAATCAGACCCAAGTCTTGGAGTTCATCCTACTTGGCCTCTCCTCAGCGCCCCAGCACCAGCAGGTCTTCTTCAGTCTGTCCTTCACCTTGTACTTGATTGGAGGTCTGGGTAACCTGCTCACCCTCTTGGCCATCATCTCTGACTCGCGTCTCCACAGCCCCATGTACTTCTTCCTCAGCAACCTGTCTCTTCTTGACCTCTGCTTTACCTCCTCCACCATCCCTAAGATGCTGGCCAACCACCTGTGTGGATGCACCACCATCTCTTTCCCAGCATGCTTGGCCCAGATGTATTTCTTCATAGCTTTGGGGGCAGCTGACAGCATCCTTCTCTCAGCCATGGCCTATGACCGCTACCTGGCCATCTGTTGCCCACTGCACTATGTGACCGTCATGGACGCCCTTCGGTGTATCTTGCTGGTGGCAGTACCCTGGATCTCAGCCAACCTCGTCTCCCTGATCCACACAATCCTGATGACGCGCCTGTCCTTTTGCTTCAACAGAATCCCACACTTCTTCTGTGACCTCAATGCCTTGATCAAGCTCTCTTGCTCTGATACGCACGTCAATGAGATGCTGGTGCTGGTCCTGGGGGGCTCTGTGGTTTTGATTCCTTTTATGTGCATCATGGTCTCTTACACACTTATCGCAGTGGCCGTGTGGCGGGTGCCCTCAGCGCAGGGGAAGCGGAAAGCCGTCTCCACCTGCGGCTCTCACCTTTGTGTTGTCATTCTCTTCTACGGAACGATCATTGGCGTCTACTTCAACCCCACAGCCACCCACGCCACTTGGAGGGACATGGCAGCCACCGTGATGTATACTCTGGTCACCCCCATGATGAACCCCTTCATTTACAGCCTGCGGAACCGAGACCTGAAAGGTGCCCTCAGGAAACTGCTTGGTGGGAACCACTTGGCTAAGTCGACCAACTCTCTTTAGAGGATGGTTGTAGTCTCCCTGGGTTATACACATGAAGATCAAATGGACAATCTTTGCACTATCTGTCTGGTTACAATTCCTAATTCTAGGGGGCGAGGAGGAATAACCATATCACCAAATGAAATGTGGTTTTGTTTATCATTTTATTGGGGGTTCATACAACTCTTATCACAATCCATACATACATCAATTGTATAAAGCACATTTATACATTCATTGTCCTCATTTTTCTCAAAACATTTGCTCTCTACTTTAGCCCCTGGTTTCAGCTTCTCATTTTCCCCCTCCCTCCGCTCTCCCCTCTCCCTCGTGAACCCTTGATAATTTACACATCATTATTTTATCATCTCTTACACTCTCTGATGTCTCCCTTCACCCACTTTTCTATTGTCCATCCCCCAGGGAGGAGGTTATATGTAGATCCCTGTCATCGGTTCCCCCTTTCCACCCCACCCTCCCTCCACCCTCCTGTTATCGCCACTCTCACCACTGAATGAAATGTTGGTTGTTTTTGGGTTTTTTTTAAAGATCCAATTACCAAGACTAGAACTCAGGGTTGTTTTTCCTTGGTCTATGGACACACTCTCTCACAACTCTGAAAAAGTGACCCCACCCTTGCCAGACTTTTCTTCCTTCTGACTACCTCCTGAGTAAGTTTTGATTTGATGCTACCATGCCTTTACCTCTGTCTATATAGCATCTCTCTTGCACCTGAGAAGGTGGGAACTATTTAGATAGCAACATCCTCACAGTTGTCATAGGGACCCTACAGGATAGGGTAGAACTGCCCCTACAGATTTCTCGGCTGTAATTCTTTAAGAGAGTAGAAATCTTCTTCTTTCTCCCACGGAGAGGCTGCTGATTTCAAACTACCAACCTTGCAGGTTGCTGCACAACACATAACCAACATTCTGTTTCTTGTCTTCTTAACTTCTATGGTGGTGGTGGTGGTTCCGCTGGGGAAACCTGCTCTAGCTGTAAAGCTTACCTTGATTTCCCATGTATGATACGGTTGTTTGCTGCTTCTGCGTCCACGCTGATTCGTGGTGACCCAGCTGTCACAGAAGGAAACATTGCCTGGTCCTGCACCTTCTTCCCCATCGTCACCATCGTTCGTGCACGTGAGTCCATTGCTGTGGCTATTGTGTATTTCAAATGCTTTCCAACCTGGGGGGATTATCACCCAGCACTCTATCGAGCAGTTCCTGTTGTGATCCAGGGGGGTTACATGAGCCGATTTTCATAAGAAGATGATCATGCCTTTCTTCCTAGCCTGGACGCTCCATTGACACAACTCCATCCTAGGTGACCCTGCTGGCATTTGAAAGAACAGGGGCCTAGCTGGCAGCATCACAACAACGTGCAAGTCACCACAGGATGACGACCAACTGACAGATGGTGGTGGTGATTTAGGGCAGCGACCTATTTAGTTAGGCTGACGAGTTTTATAGGTTTCAAAACATTGTGGGGACATGAACCACTGACTAGAAATTTGCCTCCAAATGTAGAGGGTGACATAAGACTGAAGAAAGAGGTGCGCAGCTCGAGAGTGACAGCAGGGGGTGGTAGTAGGGTGACTTCCTATCAGGCAAGTCCTGGGATGCCGGAAAATGGATTCACTTGTCCCTGACTCACAGTGGAGGCAAGAGTCATATGGCTCGGTGAACAAAGGACACATGCGCGGACTTTGAACTTCCAAGTTCTGAAGTTACGTGAGAAGTGAGCTATCAGAAAGCCCAGGGTGACCTCATTCAACTCGCGGAGTCAATTTCCCCTTCAGTCTAACCCTCAAGGCTGGGTCTTACCCTCTGACAGGCCCCTCCTCTTCTGCAAGATTCCAGAGGGCTCCCAAAGGAGGTGTGCCAACTACATAGTTAGGAACAGAAAACATTGCCACAGTTGAAGAGGCAGTAACACAATAGACAAAACACAGCAGAAAAACCCCAGCAGGGATAGAATTGTGTCCCTCAAAAATATGTGTCAACTTGGGTGAGCCAGGATTCTGAGTGGTTTGCCAGTTATCGAATGATCCCCCATGATGTCATCTGATGTAATAAGTCAATCAGTTGTAAAAGGCTTAAGGGTGGTATGCCGCACCTTTAAACCTAGCACGGTCCTGATCACATGTAAGGAGAGTGTCCCTGGGGAATGGCCTGCAACCCCTGCCCCTTGTCTCTTCAATGAGATCAAAGGAGAAAGGAGTGAGCAGAGAAGGGGCGATCAGACTACCAATAAGAGATAACAGCCAATGGTGGAGCACATCCTTTGGACCCAGGTCTCTGTGCTGGAAACCTCCTGCCTCCAGGGGAAGATTGATACCATGGCATCTGCAGATCTCCAAGGAATGCCGGGCACACGGATGTTGCCAGACGACAAGGAACTTTCTCCAAAGCTGACACAGACAGAAGGCATTCCCTTAGAGCTGGTGCCTGGTTCTGGGCTGTTAGTCTCCTAAAGGTGGAAGAATAAACTATTTGTTCGAATGGTCCACTTGTGATCTTTCTGTTGTAGTGGCACTGGATACAGGACAAACCCTAGACCCAGGAGAAGACCAACAATCAGCAGGAAAACAGCCTTGCCAAGCAGAAGAGAAGGAAGAAAAGCAGATGGTCACAGCAGAGCAGCATCAGGCATGGCCAAAGCCTCTCTCTGTTTGTTCACGTGGTCCAACAAGCCAGTAAGGACCTGGCGGTAGTTTGGTATGTAGGTGCATCTTTTACAGTCTTTTTATGATGATCTCCATATAGTCCCCCTCGAGTGGCTGTTACCATGTCCGCAGTCAGTCCATCCGGAAGCACTGCCTTATTCATCTGGGTGGTCTCAGCAGTGAACAGCCCAAGTGTTCTCAGCTTTGGTTCCGGGCCTGTTTAGTAGAGTTGGTTAGAACTTCCATTTGTCCCATTACTTCTATGGAACCGAAAGGGAGGCCAGAGCAGAGGGTTTCCTTCGCATGCTATGCTCAGGCATCAACTAACCTGAACCATCCCAAAGGTGGTGAAGGCCTTCCCACGGCCACAACTGGGAGCTGTTGTAATCGGTCTCTCACCAAGATGTGGGTTTCTGCGTCCCAGAGACCCACGATAGCAGACAGCAAGCCGAGATGTAACATGCACGACAACGGCACCCAGAAGCCAACCCCGATCTAGAAGTATCCAAAGCAAGACAAACCTGCAAGACTGAAAAGAGGAAAGCAGAGATGTCAATTTGTAATAAAGACAATTACAAAGTAAGAAGAGAGAGTCGTGTGGTTACAGAACTACCAAATGGAGAGGGCTTCCAGTAGATTTAACCTGGGTGACGGGGAGGGGAGAGCCGTGCACAGTAAGAAGATGGTTGGCAAAAATAATAATAATAATAATAATAAAATGATGGAGGCAAGGGAAGACAAGGGGGAAGTGCCAGAGTTCAAGGTAACAGAGGTAAATGCTGGTCTGTACAAGATCCTGAAAAAATAGTAGTCATAGATTGTAGCTTCATAGATAGACACGCAGGCTGAATGGGTGTGAGAGGGAGAGTGGAAGTCTACCCACAAATATATAGAGAGATTTGACAGGGATATTTGTACCTGAGTATTACTTTTTGCTGTGAACATATCTACAAATGTGGTGAAGCACACAAGAATAAAGTTAGGAAACTTCTTAGACATAACAAAACCCCTTGAGGGAATGAGTCACTGGCTTACGGGCAGGGCCATAGTCTGGCATCAGGACACACACTAAGGTAAATGTCCATCATACAGTCCATACAGACAACGTTCTACATCCTACATGAATAGTTAGTGACTGGGGTCTTCAAAGCTCATGAGTGGCCATCAATGTGCAGCTACGGATTCTTCCATGTGCGGAGGAAAGAGGAGTGATGGCAATGGAAGACACACGGAAATACCTAATCGGTCCTGTGGGTTAATGGACCACGTGAACGTCACTCCCATAACCCTGCGGCCAGCATGAGTGGTGTACAGCTGCCACTGTCAAGTGCACTGAACGCTAACATAGTAAAAGACATGGGAAAATGTGAAACAAAGCACAGAATCATCAAAGAGACGAGGCTGACTGGTCGGATAGAGAGAGGTAGAACCCCTGAGACTATAGTCCTTACCCTTCAGGTCCGACACTGACCTCACCCTTGTGGCTCAGTGTTCCACCGAGCAATCGGCAGCTCTAGAAGGGAAGCAATCACAGCAGTGAGGTACCTAATCGTAGACAACTCAGCCATTGTAGATCAAAAGGGCAGCATTTACCCGAGGTTTCAGAGGGCTGAGAAAGAAGGAGAGATGGAAACAGGAAACAAGGAAAGACGTGGGATAAGGGCTGGTGCAGTGAGGGAACTGAAATGAAGGCGAGGAAACAAAATGTCTCAATGGTTGGCAGTAAAACTGATGATCTGCTCTGCAAACTGTCACTCAATTCACCACAAGACGTTAAAAATTAAAAACATCACCACTGTGCAACCATTGTGGAAAGCGAGTGTGTCAGTCTGGGTACTTTAGAGAAACAAATCCACAGACACTCATGAATAAGAGAGAGCTTTATATAAAGGGTAAGTGCACATCAAGAAAACATCCCAACCCAGTGCTGCCCAAGCCCACAAGTCCAACATTAACCCACTAACCCATTTGACCGACAGCAATCCACAAAGTCCTCCTCCATCTCACTAAACAGACGCAATGATGCCGACTGCAGGAGGAGAGCTGAGTCAGTGAATGCGTAAGCATCTCAGTGCCGGCAGGGGTCTCCACATGGCTGCTCCAGCACCCAGGGCTGCATCGGGGTAGGTCCATGTGGCTTCTCCTCAGGGATGTCTTGCAGAAAGTGAGCCTTGCCAGCTAAAGCAGGGAACTGGCTAAGGCAGCTGCACGACCATCATAAAGCAAGAGACCCGAGAACTAGAAAGGCAAGGATCCCTGAGCCATTTATCCCTCTGCCTTTCAATTAGCTGCACATGTGATTATCAGCCAGGTTGGCACAATTAGCTAATTCAAACGTTCACAGGCATATGAG